AGAAAAGCAATGCCCACTGCAGAAGGGCAGGCATTGACATGAACCTAAGGGAGCACAAAACACTGCTTTCATAGACAATGGGACACCCCGAATTTGGAAAGGTACACTTGAGAATGAGTTCAGCCGTGGGAACATAAAAGACTTTCTACCTCCATGTGGAGTAGCTTTTAGAATTATGAGGTCTCCAGGCTTTTGATTTTTCCCCCCCAAACAGAAGAAATTCATTCCAGCATTGGCTTTTGTTTCTTCATCTGAGCTCTGATTCAGTTCTATTCCTAAGAAATCTCTTTAAGTCCCCTCCACAGGTCCAGGGTGTTAGCTACCCAAAGAACAGGGCCTTAGCTCTAGGCACCTTGTGCCCCTGTGGAATTTCTCATCTTCCATAAGACAAGCTGCCTCTTTTCTTCATGCCTCCACCATTAACAAAAGACAATGCAAAAGATTCCTCTACTTTTAATATTTCCAATTGGCTTAGAATAGCAAGTTTTTGGATTCCATTCTATCTAATTTAGGGAAGAGATGTGGGCATTTTTCCCCAGAGAAGCTTAATTTTCAGTAATGTGAGCCTAAAGATTTATAAAATAGATTTATATTAAATTATGTTAATAGAAGTCTAGTAAATGCACCATTTAATTGCATAGAAAAATGTTCCCTTTTAAGAGGTCTGTCACCTTAACAGGTACATTCAAAGATTCTCTGTGAATAATGAAAATAGGAACAATTGCTTTGATGCACTGAGCTGTATTCACTGTCTAGGACAGCTTTGGGCTGTGTTTGGAGAGGATGGGAGGAGCTCCTTTTAAAGCAGTGATTGCTCCTTTAAACCCAATTTCCCCTAGCAAATGGGTTCCATGAAGTGCCATTCTCCTCCCCAATCTCATCCTTAAGGCTGGACCTGACATCCTACCCTGGAGCTCTGCTGATATCTCCCATCTTGGTTCAGTTTCTCTTCCTCCCAACCTAATTCTAAGGACCTTTTCACCTCCTCAAAGAAATCTTCCAACAAGTGTCAGGAAAACTGAATGGAATCTGAAGGAAAGATAAAAGCGAAAAGCAAAAAACCAAACCAACAAAAAACCTGGTGAAAATACTCTTCTCTGTCCCTGTATATATTGCCACCACCCATGAAGTGTATGTCTCCCCATCCCCCCACCCCCACACCCCATTAGAACAATCACTTTTCCAGTAATTCTCTGGCCACAGTCAAGCAAACTGCATTTCTAATCCTGATCTGACTGGTGCAGCATTGGTATGAAGGGAAGGAGGAGGAGGTGCCCAGAATTCAAAGCGTTCACATCCCCAACTTTTGTTCTCCTAAAATCCAGAGATTCTTGGGGATATAGGAGAGGGGACTAGCCTTATGAGAACCACTTCAGAATAAGGGGGAAGTTCTACTGCCACCATTGTCTCTATCACCTGAGCCCACTCACACCCCAGGGATGGGTTATTGGTTCCTTTCCACCCTTGGGATACTTTGCAATCAAGAAGCTTTGCTGAGTGCCACAATCTGTATTGGCCCTTGGCCTTCAGCGTGTGTTGGTCACAGAGTGGGAGGGTGAGGGGAAAGGTCTCTGCTCCTCCTCTTTGCTCTGAATGCCTAGATTGAGTCGGGGGCATTAAGGGCAGGAGAGGTCAGGCTTCCTGCTCTCCATCCCTCCCTATTTAAAGCTGCCCCAAGACTTTTTCTCAATAAGGTGGGCTCAGTCACTCTAGCTTCTGCTGCTCACTTTTTTCTCACAGTAAAGCAAGTTTCTAATTTTTAATTCTTATTTTTCACAATCTTTCTTTCTTTCCATCATGTGTTTACAAACCCCCAAAGTGGCCAAGTTCTGAGGGAACAGAATTCTGTTTTTCAAATAGGGGCATATTGAAAGCTAGCATCCAGTGTTTCCCAGGTAGAAAAATTGTCAAGGGTTACTGCACACATTTAACCATTCTTCTTTAATAAATCTGGTGAACCTTCACTTGCAGTGACACCAAGATTGTTTAGCAGTGCACTGAGTTTGTTGTCTGAGTGTTAGCTTAGGCATTCTTACCTAAGGTAAAACTATAGGCCTTTAAGATCAACAACTTTCTAAAGCCTTATTCTGATCTACAAACATTAAAAAAAAAACTGCTTTGGGGAGAGGGATGAGGAAGTGAGGCAATATAAAATCTACCTTAGTAGACAAGGAAACTTCATGGTCCACTCTGAAAGTGATAAGAAGGCCCAGTCGCACTGAATGTCCTAGAACAAGTGGAATTTCCATGGGAACCGTGTGTAACAGGGTGGTCCCAGGAAAGGGGGAGGTTCCCTGCCCCACCCAAGGGAGGGTGGAGCTGAGCAGGAAGAGGAGAAACAGAAGAAGAGACTGAGGAAGGAAGAAAGCAGGATGGAGCCAGGAGACCTGGAGGAGGCGCATGGAGCCTAGAGACACGTGAAGAAACTGCGCTTGTCTTTTGGTCGTGGACTGGGTGACACAGATGTGGGTGAGACCCGTGGGGAGGTGACCATGGCAGCTTTTATCTTGATGTTGATTTTGCTCTTTTCCTTCCGGGCTTGTTTGGTTGTTTGTGACCCTTTTCTGTGGGTCCCCACTGGAAGATGCTTTAGACTTGTGGCAGGCTTTGGGGCCTTGTTCTGGGCCTATCCCATATGGATGGACTTTTACCCACGAGGGGACGGGTAACTTTGGGTGCTTCATTTAGAAACTAGACTCTTTGCCTTACCTGTATTGTTTCCTAGTTTTATTAAAGATCCTTCCCATTAGTCTCATGTGTTTTGTGTTGATGCGGCGGATGGCAGAACCCATTTAGTATAGGCAGGTTTGCGGGGTTTGGGCTGCCCCTCTCCTTGTCCTATAACACTTGGAGAACCTTTTCTGGAGAGTGTCCAAAGTCTAAATAGATATTTCCCCCCTAAATCTTCCTGTCCTCAGTGGAGAGTCTATTGTTTATTCTCTCTTCCCCAGGGAATTTCCCAGAAGCAGGAGGGAGAGGGTCTGAGACCATCCAAAGAGCCCAAAATTAGGTCAAGAACACTGACAACACCTCCTCCTTTGCTCAGTGGTGGAACTTGGTGCATCCACCACATTGGGTGTGGCAAGTGGGTGAATCCACACGCCTAGTTGCAGGGTTTGCGATGTGGAAGTTTCATGAATCACCGAGGCTGGGTTCCCAACAGGACAGGGACCTTCAGGAGGGCCAGGCCCCAACACCTGTCAAAGAAGGGCTGGTGAGGTGGGCCATGGAGGTGTCTGTCTAAAGCACAGATGAGGTTTAGCTTGGGGGGCAGCACAGAGACCGGCAGCAGGGGATCTTTGTCCTTGTAATTTCCAGCGAAGGAATTATTCTCTTTAAATGCCTGTTTTTTGCACAACGAAACTCCCTTTCACCCTTTCACCCACCCTCTAGTCGTGCCTTGAGAGGACCGTTTACTGGGAAAAAGAGAGATGGAGTCTCCAGGAGAGGAAGAGGGCCAGTGGGTGCCTCCTCCCCTTCACTGTGGGCAGGGCTAGGAGTCCCACATTCAGCAAATGAGAGACCCAGAGGCTGCACCTCCCAGGCCTGGGCAGGAGCAATCCAGATGCCGTGACCATCTGCAGGACCTAGCCTGGGGCACGGCACAAAGGGTGGGAGCTCCCTATTCAGCAGGACACCCTGTGGCTTCTCCACCCTCCTGACTACCCAGCTTTGGCGCAAAGACCATTGAGGAAGGGCCTCGAAATCTGAGAAAGGATAGAGCATGGGGGTTGGGGGAGAGAGAGAGAGAGAGAGAGAGAGAGAGAGAGAATGGGGGGGGGGAGAGAGAGAGAGAATGAATCTCTCTGGGCAAAGACAGGATCCGCACATCCTCTCTCCCCTTTCACAAACTGACTTCCAGACCTCAGTTTTCAAGCCCAGCCCCATGTGAACAGGTTTCAGTTCCTACACACTTTAGTAAATCAGAGCTAGTGATGTCTGTGTATGTATATTGTAAAGTTTTCCTGTGACTTGGACCTCTTGCATGATATATTTATAAAAAACAATCAGAAGTAGCACCAGTGTGTGTTAGTGGGACTCAACTCACAAGGCATGAGGTCCCCTTGTGTACACTTCTTCACGCCTCTCCCTTAGTTGACAGCTCGGATTCTCCAGGAAAGAACAAGAGTAAGGTTGCCTTGCTGAAGGCAATGTCAGAAGTAAGTCATTTCCAGGACCAGACCTGCAGCAATTAACTGCAAGATGATGGGAAGAGGGGCACTAGATGGAAGCCAATTGAGGTTAGTATGAGACCAAAAATAAAACCCAAGTCCAATGGCACGCCTGAATTGGGTTTGGAAAAGTAAATGCATGTCTTTGGACAGAATAATTTTCTGATCCTGACTCCTTGTTTTCTTAGCATTGAGGAAAACCAGCTCATTTCTTAGCTACACAAAACAGGAATGGTAATATTTCTCATCACTTGCAGGCTCACTTGTAAATTTCCATGTGTTTGCTTTCGGCCTGTGTAGTGAATTGTTCTTTCTAAAACTATTCTGACCATTCACATTCCTTCACATAATTCAGATTTTAGTACAGAAACAGATAAGAAGAAAGGGGGGCACCAAAATTTAATATTAGGTATGGGATTTCATCTCTTTGCTAATACATTTAAATGTTTGACAAACTGCCGGTGTCACTCTAAATAGAGTGATTTGTCACACCGATTGTGGGAAAGTTACCTATTTCGAGGATGGGGAGCACTTCCTGGTAGACCGCACCAGGACTGAAGGTGCCTTCACGGCAGAAGTTTCTGTGACACAGAAAATCTAGAGAGCCGCAAACGCCCTCAACCAAGAAACCCACATTACCAAGCTGTCGTAATAACTTCCCCCTAAATTCTCAGATGCGGTTCTTACCCACCCCTTCCATACCTTTCTCTAGATATGGGGGAGAAGGAGAAAGGAGAAAGTGCTAGAACAAACACCACAAAAATTTAAATCTTCATTTTTTTATTTAAATAAATATAAATATAGATTTTATATAAAACTATTCACATACAAAGGGACTTCCAGCGGCTTGAATTTTAAACTCTCCCCAGATACATTTTCAGAAAGCAGGACCTACAGGGTTCAGTTTTCTAAATTATTTGCAATTCATTTAAAGAACAACAACAGAAAGGAAATCATGAAACCCCAAGCTCTTGTCAGGTTCTGAAAAACAGTCGTGAAGGGGAAGTGACATGCGCTTTCAAAAACCCTCAGTGTTAAACCAACCCTGCTTTTTCTCCATTCTATGACAAGACTGAGTTGAATTCTAAATTATTTACATTAAAAAAGAAAACTATCTAAAACCGTGAGTGGAGACCCACACAGGTAGGTCGAGAAGGAGACACGCAGGTCAGGCGAGGCATATACCCCATCGCTCAGTTCAGTTCTTATCCGGGTGGGACCACAGAATGAGCAAGGATTTTGGCCCCTGGGTGCCCGCCAAGTAGTCGAGGCAAGGGCTACTGGAGCAAGTGGTGAGAGGGAGGCAGCCTTCCCTCATAAGGGAGAAATCTCCTTGTCGTCGTTGGGCGAGGCCGGGGACAAGGAGTCCTCATCCTCGGAGCGCGCGTAGTGTGCCTGGCCGCCGACGCACTTGCAGCCTGAGTGACTGTTCCTCTGCGTGCCCTTCCCTTCCTTCTTGTGCTTCACTCGGCGGTTCTGAAACCAGATTTTCACCTGCTTCTCTGAAAGGTTCAGGTACGTGGCGATTTCGATTCTCCGCAGTCGAGACAGGTACATGTTGGAAGAGAATTCCCGTTCTAGCTCCAGGAGTTGCGTGCTCGTGAACGCGGTCCTCATCCTCTTGCCGTTGGGTACCTGGTTGGCGTCGGAGCCCCCTGCAGACGTACAAGGACACAGAGGTCATTCTCGGCCGTGCCTCTCCACCCCCCACTTGCCATGCCCTGGAAAGGATGCCTCTCAAGTACCCACCCGCGGAAGCTTAAACACCTGTATCCATCCCCCACAAGTTCCCATGCCACCCCATTCGGTTACGGAACGCGGCGGCCTCGGGGGATGGAGACGCGCACAGCAAGGGAAGGCCTTGGGTGGGTGCAATGTCAAGTTAGAGGAGGAAAGGAAAGGTGGGGGCTTGCATGGTCCGGTCTTTCTTCAAGCTTAGCGAACAGGCAGGCAGTCTTAGCCAAAGGCATCGAAACGCTTAGAGGCAGCCCGGACGCCAGAATGCCGCGTTTTAGGTTGGAACACCCACCCCAAACCTTCCACCGGTTAACTTCGCGATTCTCAGCCCTTAAGTTCGAGATCCCAAAGGCCCCCATATTATAGCAGACTTGGGCGCGAGCGCCCAGGAGGAACGCGCCCCCGGAGCAAGAGGCTGCCCGGAGAGGCTGGCAAGGAAACTTACACCTTCGTGGAACTTCTAGGGACGACTCCAACGTTACTCTAAAAGCCCCTCCTCCCTCCCACCCCGCCCTCGGGCTCCCACTTCCTCCACTGCAGGAGAAAAAGTTTGCTCCCGGGAACTGAGAAGGCGCGGCACGCAGGTGCCCAGAGGCACCGCCCTACCCATGGTGAGGCAGTGGAATCTCCGCGGGTCCGCCACGTTGTAGGTGGTGGCAGCGCAGACAGGTGCGTGGTGCTGCTGATGCCCCAAGGCCGCCGCGGCCGCGGCCGCTGCAGCCGCGGCGGCCGCAGCGGCGGAGCCGGGCTGCTGGGGCTGGTGGTGGTGATGGTGATGCTGCGGCGGGTGGTGGTGATGGTGCGCGTGGCTCATGCGGGAGCAAAACTGGGCGTCCCCGGGCCCCGAAGAGTACTGACTCTTGAGCAGAGGGAGGGCCCCGGCGCCCCCCGGCGCCCCGCCGCCCCCTGCGCCTACACCCCCGGCCCCTGCGCCCCCGCCGCCGGCGCCCCCCGGGCCGCGCGCGGGGTGCAGGTGCGAAGTGACGCAGAGCGGGCAAACGCAGAACGCGCCGCTCTTGCGGGACGGGCAGCCGGGCCCCGACACGGACATCACCAGCGGGGACGGCATGCCCAGCGGGATGAAGAAATCCGGCCCGGGATGCGGCTCCGGCAGGGAGGGCGCGGGCCGGGAGGAGTCCTTGATGATGAGCGAGTCCACATAGAAGGAGCGCGACATGTCGGGAGGGGTGGGCGGCTGCAGGCCCCGACCGGCCGGGCGCCCCTCCCCTCTCCTGCGCAGAGCTCGGCCCCCGACGCGGGCGCAAGCGGTCAAGCCCTTGGGGACGCGGAGGTGTCGGCGTCTGGGCTGCGAACAAAAGGGTCCCGGGAGAGGGCTGGTCCTCACGTCCCCAGCCCGGCGCCCCGGCTCCGGTATTTTATAGCCCCCACCCCGGCACGTGACGCGGCGGAGTACCGCTCGGCTCCGGCTCCACGGCGGCTCCCCACCCTCGGGATAGGCTGCCCGAGTCACAACAGAAGCGGTGAGGAGGGGCCGGCGCGCCGCGGGGAGGAACGCGGGCGAGGGGGGCGGGGGGAGGGGGGGAGACTTTGCGAAGTGTAGGTTTTGTTAATTTCGCGGGGGAAGCCGGTCTGCTCTCCCTCTTTCTCCTCGCTTTCCGGAGAAGTCACAGCATCCTCATCCCTCTCCTCCCAAGCGTGCGCCCCAGCCCAACTCTGCCGCGCGCCTGGCCCCAGAGCGCTCCAGGTGGGGACTTTTCTTGCTAGGGATGCCCGGTGCTCGCTGCTCCTCCCGTCAGCGGAGATTGAGGCGCGATGAAATACATGTAAGGCTTGCGAGCACCACACAGCTCCGGGCTAAGTGGCAGCGGCCCTGGAGCGCCACTTGCGCCACAGACGGAAGGACGGAGGGACTCACAGACACTTTCACAGAGACCCCCAGTTTTTGAGCTGGGCCACGGTCATTCAAGTAGTTCATCGGTGAAGGATCGGGGCTTAACAGTCAGGCCTCCCAGCTAAGAAGCTCCAGAGCTTTTCATTCTGATGTTTGAGAAGTTCTAAAATGTCTTTTTGCACTTGGGGTGTTCCTGGGGCCACTCAGACTAATGACCCGTCTTTGTACCCCTCTCCAACTCGCAGTTCCTCCTTTGGCAGAGAGTGGAGAGGTTGAGGAGTCACTTTTCTTTCTCCAAGTTATTCCACCACAATATGTCCAGGTCAACCTTGCAAACACAATCCCAAGGGTTTTGGAGAAAGAACCCAAACCCCAGCTCTCCTGATGACTGGCAAGAGGTTGGGGGGAGACCTTTGCTCCTGGCCCAGTGACCCCCTGCCCCAGAGCATTTTGTGGATCTTAAAGGCTGCAGCGCAAAAAGCTAACCAGGAAGCGTGGTCCCTTCTGCACCCCTTTAAAAGTCCCAAAATGTTGAAGGAATTGAGGGCACTCAAGGAATCAAGGCTTGGGATGGGAGAAGCAGCTTGATAAAGAAATTTTTCTGAGTGGCGCAGGATCCAGTGAAAGGTTTGTATGCCAGAGGCTGTGTCAGAAGGGGTGGCTGCCAAATCAGGGGTTATTGATCTTTTGGGAAAGTAGGAGGCTAAAGTGACAACTTTCTCTTCTTTCCCCTTGTAGAAAAGTGGCCCAGATTAGAGTCTGATCCTTTTACCAAAACAGTGAATTTCAGGCCCAAGTTCCAGGTGATTCTTAGAAACTTGGGGACAGGACTCCTTTCACCTATGAGAACCAAGTACCCAAATGCAGAGGCTTATCAGATTCTCAGCTGAAGGCATGGCTGTCTCTCTGGCCTCTTTCTGTCTCTCGTTTCCCTTTTCTGTCTCTGTGACCATTTCTCTTGCCTGCTAGAGAAGTGTAATTGGGTTGTAGGGACGCCCCGCTCTGGGGAGCCCAGGATTTATGGATGGCAATTAAAGTTTTATGAATTGCAGCTGAGGCTGGTTATTGAGCTATTTGAATGTGATTAGAATTCAATTAGAAAGCGGTTAGTGGACGGTGGGTCTCCAGAGTGTAAACAGACAGCTATTCCAGAAATGTGCTAATCCAACATCTTGTGACAACAATTAAGGAGTCTCAGGGCTTAACTCAGGGCAGCTCAGCTGTAACTACTTTTGCACCACAAGGTTTGCCCATGCAGCGGACATCGATGCTGTCTCCATTTGTCCTGCCTGGCCCAACCCACACTCACTCCTGCACGGAGAATCCAGACAGTCCAGGAATCATTCCAGCCCCATGAAGGAAAACTAAAAGCTCAACAATTGAGAAGACTCATGACAGAGTGCTTTCTAGAGACCAAGATTGTCCAAATAGGTGACATTCATTTTGCCAATATAGTTTTCACTTTTAAAAATGTATGTAATATAGGCTTGTATGTATTTGTTTACTCTCTTTGCATATATAATATAGCCCCACATCTTTGAAATGAATAGCTTTCTCCTTTCTTCTTTGGGTTAGGCAGGAGGTTGTCTAAGGTCTGTTTGGGGGTGATGCTTTATATTGCAAGGTTTGCAGTAGTTCTGGGTGTGCTCATGGGAAGAACTCCTATACCCCTATGCTAATGTGCTGTTAAGTTGTGCACATGTGTGGAACATTTTATTATGGAAAATACTAATTATGAGGCTTAAGCATCTAACTCAATTTATACCTGACTACGAAAACATCCAGATGGGGTGTTAAAGAGTATTTTGAGAAAAAGTGAGAGGTGCCTGGGGCTGCTTAGGGCCACATGTGGAGCGCTGATTTGAGGCCAGACTGAGGTCAAAAGCAAGACTATGTCTGAGAAACTTGACTGTTCGGGCACTTCATTAGTTGCTTGAGTCCATCATTAGTATTTTGGGATGATAGGCATCTATATCTTTAGTTCTTTTTTGATCTTTTAGCGTCTTCTCTCTTTCTTGTGCAAGCTCTTTCTCTCTCCCTTTCTTTCCTTTGCTCCAGATCCATTTTCCAAAGCCACTCTCACTGTCCCTAGAATTCCCCACTCCCAGAAACTTACCCTCCAAGGGCCTGTGCAGCTTTGCAGCTGAACCTCCCCTGTAGACCCTTCCCAAGGCAGCAGCATTCTCAACACACTCAGAACACAAGGGGACCCCAAGCAAACCAATGGTGGGTGGTGTGCCCCATGGTGCCCCCACTGCTGCACAATTTTATTTCTCAGTGATTCTGTCCGATAAAATTTCATCGTCCATTAAGTAATCCCTGAAATGAGAGCTCTTATGAGCCTATAATGAGCTCTAATTGCCACAACTCGGGGAGCCACGTGGAAGGATTTATTTGGTATTAAGCAGTCGGGTACAGAGTACAGGCTGTTACCTAAGCCGTTACTTTCATAATTCAAGGAGAAAATTAGTTCTTTTAAAGGGAGGGGGGAGTCCTTTGGTTTTCTTCCTCTTGCTCAGGATGACAGAGGATGGCTTTGTCTTCCATGAGTGCAAGGCAATATCACAAATGCAAGGCTAGCAAAATTGTCTCCTTCCATGCCCAACCAGCCCAGGTCGAGACAGCCCACCTTACCCTCGAATGAGAAAAAAATCAAAGCAGTTCAGGGTTGCTCCCTCCTTGCTTCTGGACTCTCGAACTGGGTCTGAGGGAGTAGTTCCCTCCCAGCTCAAAGTTGTAATGTGAATTCTTGGTTACAGCTTTCTCAAAATCTTTCAGTACTTTTCTCTTTCTCAGATTACACCTGACCTGAACCCAGGTTCCTTTTCTTTCTTTCAGTTTCCTTCCAAAGGCAAAGTCATGGACTGCTGCTTATTCAACAGGCCCTAGAGTTCTGATCCATTGACATGTTTGGGGGTTTTGCTGCTGTAACTCCCACTTTACCCCTAGCTCTGTGTCCACTCCTAAAGCAAGCACACACACCCCCCACCCTTCGAACCTCCAGTCCTTTTTTCTCTTCACTTCAGCATTTGCCCACACGGTTTCCAGCTCCTAACGGAGGCCGCGGGCAGGGCAGGACAGCCCTGGAGTTGGCGGGGCCGCCTCGGATTTATTTGCTCCTCTTACATTGATTTCATATTAGTTTCCAAAGCGATGAATGATCTCAAAGCTGGGTTTTGTTAGCCGAACACAAACAGGAGACAGGACTTACTTGCCCCCAGCTCCCTTTAATGAGGTCATTATCAAAGCGTGAACAAGTCTATGAATGTTTTATTGAAAGCGCATCGTTAACTTGTATCCATCCTTTTCTCCAAGTGGCATTGTGATATTGCTGTCTGTGGCACATCTTACCCGATATAGCCCGAGATTTCCCCATTCTCTGTAACCAGGCAACCCTTTCTGAATACCCAAAAATTGAAAAGAACCGCTTAGTCTTCAAGAAAGTCCTCAATAATAGTGGAAAAGAACAAAGATCCAGGAGACAACAAAATGCCACAGGGGTGACTTTTCATGAGCAATTATCTCTCATTAATCAGAAGAACAGCTGCAATATTAATTTTCTCTCTTTCTTCCTCTCTTTTCACAGTCCCCAACATTTGAATAATCATAAATTTTGATTTTATGAAGGAGTCACATTTTCAGGGGCTGGAGGAAAGCAGCTACCTAGGTGAAGACTAGGAGGAAACGCTCTCATCTGGGTTTTTTGTTTGTTTGGGTAAAGCTGCCAACAAAGCAAAATGGGAAAAAATAAAAATAAGAGGGAAATACAAGAGAAAATGCCCCCCACCCTTTCTTCTTCTAGATGATGGCTGAGAATTGGGGTTCTTTTCCCGTGCCCCCTTCTAAATCTACCCCACCCCTCCCTCCTCTCCCTACCAGACCCATTCCCCAGTTCTGCTCAGAACAGGGCGGAGGGAAATGTCCCCGGCGTCTGGCGTGGGAGTTTCAGCCGGGTTTCTGCCGGTTTAACTTGCAAACGTGAAGCCAAGCGTTGTCGATCTGACCAAAGAGACACTCTTTGGGCGTAACTTGCATTGTGGTCATCAAAAGCCCGCCAGTCTTGGATGAACTGAGACGTGCATTCAGCAGAAATGGGGCGCCCGCTCTCCTTTCAGGCGCCGAAGAGGCGATTGTTCAGGGGATGTGTAGCCAGGATGGAAAACGAGGGTCCCCAGATAAGGCTGTAACCTGCAAATGGTCTTGGGGGAGTTAAAAGAATCTCATTAAAGCCGAGCCTGCAATTAGCAAAGACACACTCAGAGAGAACCCAAGCCCTCTTGAAAAGCTGTGAGTCAGGATGAAAGCGTGGCAGTTGAAAGTCAGTTCCCACAGCCCTTCCTGGCCGAGTGGTGAGGGGCTCAGCCGCCTGGCTGCGCGGCCCCAATACTGTTACTTTTCATTGAAGACCCGGCGGGGCCGGTCCGCTGAGAGCGCCTCGCGCTCACCACCACCAAAAAATGATCCTGCTTCTCCCTCGTGTTTATTCAGAGCCCACGGATGGGCCTTTGTGCTCACCACGGGCGCAAGAGTTCAATTCGGCCTTCGGAAAAGGAGGTGGAATGGGCTTCAGAGAAGGCGGTAGGAATTTGGTTCCTAATTTCAGGAGCAGCTTCTCAGGAGCA